CTCATCGGAAGAAGTGGGTTTTGCCCACAAAAGCTCATGATACTATCTATATTTTTGTTCATCTCTAAGGCAGAGGTGGGGAACCCTTATTTGCAATCTACAAGTATAGATTGCACTCAAACGCCACAATATAAAACTTTAGAACCCGAATCTACTCAGTCCTACTTAATCAACCAATTGCTAAGATAAACATTAGACATTCAACTTGCATGATAAAGATTGCACTACTGAACTTTTATTAGGTTTGAAATACTACTGATATTTGCACTGTAAAAAAACTCATCACAATATAAAGTGACTACTGTACACTTTCAGGGGGGCAGCCATGTAGTCCTTCAGCAAAAACAAGGAGTCTTGTGGCACTTTAAAGACTAACATTTCTTTGAGCATGAGCCCACTGTACACTTTGTATTCTATGCTGTAGCTGAAAAATATATTTTGAAAGTGTGGAAAACATCAAAAAATATGTAAATAAATAGTATTCTGTAATTGTGCTATTAATCACAATTTCTTAAATTGCTTGTCAGGCCTTTTTTTAAATTGATTTTAAGGACTAGAAAATCCGGTAGTGTTGAAGAAGAATCCTGAGAAAGAAAAATGCCTTCCTGGCGACATTTAAACTCCTGTTCGAAAATGTAAAAACTAAAGGAGGTGGCAAAGTATCAATATTTTTCAAATGACACTAATCACCAGGTACTATCTGAACCCACTACAGTCCTTTGTATTAGAAAGCAGCCTCCTCCTCAACATCAAAAGATCATACTCCAAATTGATTTCATTTGCTAGTGCAGATTTGGAAAAGCCATGAGTCAAATAGATAAGACTATCAGCAGCTCAATAACTAACCTTCACTCTAGAGGAGATTACTGAGAAAATAAACAAACAATCTGAAAGAAGTGGGTTGCACCCACGAAAGCTCATGATACCAGCTACATGTTCTGATAGTCTTTAAGGTGCTGCTAGACTATTTGTTGACTTTTGAGAAAATGTTTCAATACATTTGTTCAGGACTGGGCATTCAAAAAGAGCACAATGTATTTCAATGTTGGAGTGAGGGCATCCAAGTCTAAGACTTGGGCCGGAGTCCTCATTCCTCAAGAGACCAGGCAGTATGCCTAGAGACCCTCATAGAATCACAGAATACTAGGACTGGAAGGGACCTTGAGAGGTCAGAAGTGGGGAATCCACAACCTCCCTGGGCAATTTATTCCAGTGTTTGACCACCCTGACGGTTAGGAACTTTTTCCTAATGTCCAACCTAAACCTCCCTTGCTGCAGTTTAAGCCCATTGCTTCTTGTTCTAGCCTCAGAGGCCAAGATGAACAAGTTTTCTCCCTCCTCATGACACCCGTTTAGATACCTGAAACTGTTATCATGTCCCCCCTCAATCTTCTCTTTTCTAAACTAAACAAACCCAATTCCTTCAGCCTTCCCTCACAGGTCATGTTCTCTAGACCTTTCATCATTCTTGTTGCTCTTCTCTGGACCCTCTCCAATTTCTCCACATTTTTCTTGAACTGCGGTGCCCAGAACTGGACACAATACTCCAATTGAGGCCTAACCAGCACAGAGTAGAGCGGAAGAATGACTTCTCGTGTCTTGCTCACAACACACCCGTTAATGCGTCCAAGAATCATGTTTGCTTTCTTTGCAACAGCATCACACTGCTGACTCATATTTAACTTGTCCACTATAACCCCTAGATCCCCTTCTGCCGTACTCCTTCCCAGACCATCGCTTCCCATTCTGTATGTGTGAAACTGATTGTTCCTTCCTAAGTGGAGCACTTTGCATTTGTCCTTATTAAACTTCATCCTATTTATCTCAGACCATTTCTCCAATTTGTCCAGGTCATTTTGTATTATGACCCTATCCTCAAGATTAGTCGCGATCCCTCCCAGCTTGGTATCATCTGCAAACTTAATAAGCGTACTTTATATACCAATATCTAAATCGATGAAGATATTGAACAGAGCTGGTCCCAAAACAGACCCCTGCGGAACCCCACTTGTTATGCCTTTCCAGCAGGATTGTGAACCATTAATAACTACTCTGAGTACGGTTATCCAGCCAGTTATGCACCTACCTTATAGTAGCCCCATCTAAGTTGTATTTCCCTAGTTTATTGATAAGAATATCATGCAAGACCATATCAAATGCCTTACTAAAGTCTAGGTATACCACATCCACCGCTTCTCCCTTATCCACAAGACTCGTTATCCTATTAAAGAAAGCTATCAGATTGGTTTGACATGATTTGTTCTTT